ATGGGGGTTTTGAGTAGATTGGTTGTACGGGTTAAAGTCGCTGCGAATGAAATCGGTTTCGGTATACTCTATCCTCTCCAACATTCAAGCGAAAGGCTATCAATGGGATTTTCATTGCTTCCCGCGGTCTAGAAGTGGCGTAAATCCTACTTGCCGAGCATGCCTCCTAAACACATCCCAAATGAGATCCCCAAAAGTTACTTAGCCTATAAAATGTTTTCTCTCGCCCCATATCTTTCCTTTTTGTTCGGATTTTTGTTTTCTTCTTCTTTTTCTTTCTTTCCCTTTCTCTTTTTTTTTTTTTTTTTTTCATATGATGCAATCCCGGGCTTCTAGGACGTTGAAATTTGACGAGTTCACTCTCTTGTTTTTTTTTTTTTGGTTTTTGTCCCACAACTTAGACCCGAGCCTTCATTTTCGACGCACTCATGTCCCCGAATGATTTTCATTAACGAGATGATGACAGAGGAGTGTCGGGATGCATCGTGTTTCCTAGGGCTTGTTGCTTCCTATAGGCTTCCTAACTTAGAGGTCAAAGGGTGGTTTTTAGGGAGACGTTTCGTTCTTGGTTCGTAACCTCTACTCCATCTAGACTTTAGGAGACAAAATCATCCCACGTGATATTCATTCGCTCTAGGATTGGATCAGCTATTTCTACCTCGCTCGACAATCCATTCAACTCTTTAGATCAATCTAAACTTAGCTCCTAAAAACTTTCCAGACCAATCCTCACTCTATATCCCCCACATCGTCATCTGACCAAATCTTTGAGAGAAAAAACCTTATATAAGTGTATGCATGTATTCCTACACCTATATGCATATGCAATCTAATCGTGCAACTTAATGCAAAGGATGGAAACTTTTTTTTTTTCATGAAATGCAAGGCTCTAAGTGTGGAATGCATGTGGTATGCAAGGCTCATGGATCGAAATGTGTTAGTATCACTCCTCCCCCCAGACTTGAATTGAACACCGTCCGCGGTGTTAACTCTCGTCTAGTGGGGAGTATAAAAAGAGTAAGTGTGTTACC